TTCAGAACCCATTTATGTTTAAGGCCCTTGAAATCCTCGGAATAGAAGGAACATACCTCAACATGATAAAACCCATATATGATAAACCCACAGGCAATATTATCATCAACGGAAAAAAGCTGAAAGCCTTTCCTTTGAGATCAGGAATGAGACAAGGGTGTCCACTATCGCCACTGCTCTTCAACATAACATTGGAAGTTCTAGCAGAGCAATAAGACAGGGAAAAGACATACAAGAGATCCAAATAGGGAAAGAAGAAGTAAAACTGTCCTTACTTGCAGATGTTATGTTAATCTACATGGAAAACCCTAAAAATCCACGGGAAATTAATCAAAACCATCAGCCAGTTTTGTAAGGTAGCAGGATATAAAACCAACTCACAAAAGTCAGAGGCCTTCCTATACACAAACAGAAAAGGCATAAACAAACAAACAAAAATCCCCTTTGCAATTAAAAGAAAAATAATCAAATACCTGGGAATCAACCTAACAAAAGAAGTAAAAGACCTATAGAAAGAAATTCACAAAACACTGTTAAAAGAAATACAAGAGACACCATAAAATGGAAAGACATCCCCTGCCCATCAATCAGGAGAATTAACATCATCAAAATTGCCATCCTACCAACATCAATATACAGATTTAACACCACCCCAATAAAAGACTCAATGACATTCTTCAAAGAAATAGAAAAAATATTGATGAGATTCACATGGAACCACAAAAGATCTCGAATAGCCAAAATTCTCATGACTAGGAAGAAAGAGAAGGGAGGCATTACAATCCCAAACTTCAAGCTGTACTACAAAGCCATAATAATCAAAACTGGAACAAGAATAGAGATACAGACCAGTGGATTCAGATAGAAAACCCAGATATAAACCTACAGGTTTATGGACAGCTAATCTTTGACAAAAGAGCAAAGAAGGTACAATGGAACAAAGAAAGTTTGTTCAGCAAATGGTGCTGCAAAACTGGGAATCAACTTGTAAAAAAATGAAACTAGATCACTGTCTTTCACCATACACAAAAATCAAGTCGAAGTGGATTAAAGACCTAAACATAAGAACAAAAACCACAAAATATCTGGAAGCAAAGATGGGCCAAACACTACACAACATATACTTCAGCGATATCTTTAAAGATAGAGCAAGGATAAATAGATGGGACCACATCAAATTAAAGAGCTTCTGTACAGCAAAAGAGACATTACAAAAAATAAAAAGACATCCCACTGATTGGGAAAAAAATTTCTCACATTTAACTAGTGATAAAGGATTGATCACAAAAATATACTGATGAACTCAACAAAAATAAACAACCCCATAAAAAAAAAAGGGCAGAAGAGCTAAAAATACACTTCTCCAAAGAGGAAAAGCAGATGACTAACAAGCAACAACTAGCAACAACAAATGTTGGCAAGGATGTGGAGAAAAATGAACTCTCCTGCACTGCTGGTGGGAATGCAAACTAGTACAACCACTATGGAAAGCTGTTTGGAGGTTCCTCAAACTGCTAAATATGGAGCTTCCCTACGACCCAGTAATCCCACTCCTAGGTATCATAAAAACACTGATTCAAAAAGATACCTGCACCCCCATATTTATTGCTGCTTAATTTACAATTGGAAAGACATGGAAACAGCCCAAATGCCCAAAAATGTATGACTGGATTAAAAAGATATGGTACATATACACAATAGAATATTGCTCATCAACCAAAAAAAAGAAACACTTGTCTTTTGCAGCAACCTGGATGGAGCTGGAAAAGATCATGCTTAGTGAAATAAGCCAGAAAGAAAAGGAAAAGTACCAGATGGTTTCTCTCATAGCAGGAATGTATCGGAACTGGAGAGAAAATAATGATAATGACCAACAGCTATATACCAGAGACATTTTGGGGGGGGGGTGCAGTGGGGAAATGGATCAAAAACAGTGGGGAGAGGGAAATGCACTGGATTATGGTGATGGCACATGGGTGATTTGGTGATGGGAAACCCAAGAGGACTGCAACTGAGATGGAAAAATGCACAAAAATATTTACAAATACACTACTATAAAATTAAAAAAAAAAAAAGAAAAGAAACTAGATCACTATCTTGCACCATGCATAAAATCCAACTCAAAATGTATTAAAGACCTATACATCAGAACAGAAATAATAAAATACCTGGAAGCAAAGATGGGCCAAATACTACATGACATACACTTCAGTAATATCTTTGAAGAAACAGCACCCAAAGCAACAATAGTGAAGAAAAGGATAAATAGATGGGACTACATTAAATTAAAGAGCTCTGTACAGCAAAGGAGACATTACAAAAAATACAGACATTCCTCTGATTGAGAAATTATTTTCTCACACAAACTAGCAATAAAAGATTGATCACAAAGATATATAAAGTCAACAAAAACAAATAACCCCATCAAAAAATGGGCAAAAGTGCAAAAAGACACTTCTCCAAAGAGGAAATGCAGACGGCCAACCAGCATATGAAAAAAATGTTCAATATCACTTGTAATAAGGGAGATGCAAATTAAAACCACAATGAGATACCACCTCAACCCAGTGAGAATGGCACATCTTAGAACAATTAGCAACAACAAATTTTGGTGAGGATGTGGAGAAAAACTCTTGCACCATGCTGGTGAGAATGCAAGCTAGTGCATGCATTATGAAAACTGTTTGGAGGTTTCTCAAACTGCTAAACATGGAGCTTCCATATGACTCAGCAATCCCACTCCAACGTATTTACCCAAAAGACAGAAAAACACTGACTCAAAAAGACATCTGCGCCCCCATGTTATTGCTGCTTTATTTACAATAAGAAAGAAATGGATTCAACCCAAATACCCAAAAGTAGATGACTGGATTAAAAAGATGTGGTACCTATACACAATGGAATATTAATTGGCAATTCAAAAAGATAAACACATGCCTTTTGCAGCAACATGGATGGCGCTGGTAGGGATCATGCTTAGTGAAATAAGACAGAAAGAAAAAGAAAAATACTGGATGGTTTCACTCATATCAGGAGTATAAAGGATGGGGGCAAAGATAATAATGAACATTTTATGAGAGACATTTTATGGGAGCTGAGTGGGAAATGGCATTAAAAATAGGGTGGTGGGGGGAGTGACTAGACTATGGTGATGGCACAGGGGCGATTTGGTGATGGGAAGCCCATGAGGATTAAAACTAAGATGGGAAAGGACACAAAATGATGTAAAAATAAACTATTATCATAAATTATTATATTAAAAAAATGTTAGTCATTTACAGTATTAAAATCTTTAATTAATCAGTCTAAAAGTATTTTCTCCCAAATAATACCAGTATTGTTATAATCTGTAATACCTATCCCTCCCTTAATATTTATGTAATCATTTTGTAGGTATATGTATATTTTAACTTCACAGTAAAATATTTTTATTATTTTATATATTCAAAGGTCATGAGATCTATTTATATATGTACTTGTTTTGTTTTTCTTTTTCTCCTTTTGGAATTACTTCTTTTTTTACAAATTAAACCTTCCTAGTTCTCTTTAGTAAAGGATATCAGAGGAGAACACTCTCTGTTTTTAATATGAAAATATCTTTATTTTGTATTCAGTTTTGTAAAGTATTTTCACTGAAGCAAGAACTCTATTGGAATTGGCTCTTGGATAACATGTCAACTGGCTTTTATCACTGCTATTGAGAGACTACCTGTCAAAGTGTTGCCCCTTTGGAATTTACTTTTTTTCTATTCATACTTGATTTTTTATTTCACCCAAGTCTATTCTACTGCACTGGAATTTTTACTCCAGTTCTCAGTAATCAGCAGTACTTAATGTAATTAAATACTGGTTTTTAACTTGGTTTATAACTTTCCAACAGTTCCTTTTTCAAATCTGCTATGTATGCTACTTTCTGTAGTTTCTACTTTCAAAAATTTCTAAGCCTTCCATTAATTGGACATAAAAAGCAAACCTGTTTGAGTCAGTGTGTAGTAATTCCTGAATCTGGCGATTTGATTGTTTCCTGTTCTATGCACTGTTTTTTTTTTTTTAAGATTTATTTAATTTATTTATTCATATAAGAACTGGTGCATAGACTAGAGGTATGGGGTAGGGGGCTGAGATGATGAAATTAGAAACAGTGGGGAGCAGAACATGAGGATCCACTGAAATTCACTACTGAAGGGAACAGTAGCCCAAACAGGAGAGGTCTGCTGTGCAGAGTTCTTACTTACAATGTCCTCATTTGTCTGGTATTCTTCACTATGTGCTTCAAAATGTATTTGAAATATAATGTAAGTGGGATTATTTGTTTACACTGGTTTGCTTTTAAAAATTATTTTTAATTGAAAGTGCTACTGGTTTACAAGCTTGTTAAGTGTTTATGGAAGTATAGGACTTCTCCCATCAGGTGTATTCACCATACTTTATCCATCACTCACATACCAATAGTTCTCCATCATAATCTATTGTGCTCTCTCCTCTTCCTGTTTCTCACCTCCTGCTCCCTCTCAAATGCCTCAGGGTATATGATCAACTTTCAAGGGGTGATTTAAAGTACGTCTTTGACTGACCCTCTGTTTATTCCACATCTTACACTATCTATTTCACTTATATCTAGGGTGACTCCAACAAGATATTTTGTCAAAGGTGGAAGCTGTTTAACAGTGTTTACATTTGTACTAGTACTGGGATTTAAACTTTTAACTTTTTGCCCAATAAGGGTAAAAAGGGTAAGGTGAGTACAGTCCCCACTCTCAGCTACCTTGTTCATAATGGAATAAGAATGTGCAACTATAGATTAACCTGTGCCAAGAATCAAGAAAAAAATTAAAGGAAAATTAAATGAAGTAGCAAAGTAGATCTGGCCAAGTTAGATAATTATGGAATAAACACTATAGTTTTATTTTAGATGTAACCCAAATAAAAGTAACCATATCATATTAGAAAATGAGAAAGGCCTATATAATCCAAAATCAAAGGTACATTTATTTTCTCACCATTTTCTGCCAAAGGAGCAAGAACTTCAAAAATCATTTCTCTCTTATCATGTTCTACTTGTTTCTTGAAAAGTTTTACCAATTCTTCAGCAATGTTTGTACTGGCAAATTGTTCTTTACTTGACTCTGAAAAAAGAAAAGTTTACCATAAACAAACAAAACTGCTTTCTTACATTCAAACACTTGGTCATTTGCTACTATTAGGGATACATGCAAATATTTTTCAAATAATGGAATAATTAAATTCATTTTTAATGCCCAAGGAAAGAAAAAACAAGTGAAGATTTAAAGAAAACATTCTATCCCAATTACTAAAGCTATAAAAAATGTTAGCTATAACTTACAGATAATAGCAACAACAAAATTTCTAAATTATAAATTCATAATTATGAGGCTTTTTATCAAAGAAGAAAACTTACTTGTAACAGGCTACATTTTACATGACTGAGTGCAGGTGGCTTATTTTTATATCATTAAATAATTTATATCACTAAATCATTTATATCTATATCATTAATACATGTTTGGGATTGCATGCTTTTATATGCCCACTATTAAAGGCCAATTCTTCTCATGTACTTGGAATTACATTATCTCTTTCATCTTCAACATCCTCCTGCTTTCCTTTCTCCTCTAAAGCCTGATCAACATTGAATTATGTTTTAGTATTTCTCACTTAGAAAGCAGTATTACAAAAAAAAAAAAAAAAAACACCAATCTGTACCTCACTTACCAATTACCATCCAATCTGTTTTCTTTACCAAATAGGTTTCTTGAGAGCACAGTCTACATACACACTTGCTCAGTGCACATCCTTTATTACACCCATCTCAAACTGTTTTGAACATCTCTGTACACTTCTGCCTCCTTTGTTTTTCTACTTCCTCTATAAATTTCAGGTGCTTAGATGATTCTTTATTTTCATCCTTACTCTCACCTAAGTCAATCTAACTCTTTAGCATTGCAACAACATATTGACACATATACAGCAACATTTCTACTCTTTTTCTATACTCGAGTCTATTTATTTAACTTGCTTTTTGATTATTTCCATTGAATAGCTCTCTTGCACCCAAAATAGCCTTTGCTATGACTTTGAAATGTTTCTTTCTCCAGAATTCCTTATCATGGTAAATGAACACTTTACACAGATCTATGCAGGTAGAAACAAGAGAGTGACTGACACTTTGTTCTCACTGAAATGTACATCTGATAAATTACAAAGGTCTACAATGCTTCCTCCAAAATACATGGGAATGCACTGTATTTCTCTCCAATTTTTTTGTTAATTTGCTTCATCAGAGAGCCTATTAATTTCTGTAGAAATTTTAGAGATTTCTGAACAATTTCAAACTATTTTGTTGGGAAAGCTGATATCCTGGAGTTTCTGTCATAGATTCTTTTCTCTCTTAGATACTTTATTATCTATGTCTTTTTGTCTTTGCTTGATGTTTTATTGGAAGTATTCTCTTCACAGCTTTGAGACTACTATATGGTGTATATAGTAGGTAGATATTTTGATATTTTAACTGTCTCAAACTGCTCACTTACAAATTGTATGTGCCTTTAGTTAGTTCCTTATTTCATAACATTACTTTTCATACAAGCAATTATCATAATTTATGTTTTTGTTCATCTGTAAATTCACTTTAAAAGTGTAAGTTCATTTTACACACTAAACTTTAGCTTCCTGAAACAGGGAGAGCATAAACTGTCTTAGTTACCACAAAATAATAAAGTGCCCAGTATATAACAGATGTTAAAAATAAATGAGTAGATGTGACTTAATGAATAAACAAGTAAATGCAAGTTACAGTTAAGTCTCTGCTAAATTTCTGTGTCAACATCAAATAACACACACCACAAATTAAACTTTGTAAGAGAAAGGAAAAATACAAGACTTTTTATGGTTTCATAGTTTTGATTCACAACACAGATGTACTGATTTTGTTGAATCACAAGGTCCATGCCAAAATGATGAAAATCTGTCACAATAACTGGCAAATTAGTGTTATAAAAAGGAAACTGAGAAAAGCTGGGCCCTTCCTGGTGGCACAGCGAGTTAAAGCACTGCACTAAGAAGCTTAAGCCACTTCCGCATGAGTTCCATTCTCGCCTGCCCCGGAGGAGCTCCACATGGCGAGGCAGACCTCTCCTGACCCGCCAGCTGCTCCCCTCAGCAGTGTACTTCGTCGATCTGCCTGTTCTGCTCCCCACTCTGTCTCTGGTGAAGCCTCTCACCCGCCACATCTCTGGCCTGTACCCCAGTTCTATATGAATAAATAAATAAATCTTTTTTTTTTTTAAAAAAAGGAAACTGAGGAAAGCTACCCATGTACTCATTTTTTTATGTCAGTACCCCATACCTGAAAAGGAAAGTATGACCTCCATCTTCTCAATGCAATCATAATTTTGATTGTATCAAAATCTAGTATTTCAATAACACATTAACACATTTTACCTAAAATTATCTTTGTTTCTCTGTAGTTATTTTCTCATTTGCTTAGTTTTCTATGATGTCTTAATATTTTAGAGTTTAAAATATATTTTTACTTACTTTTTACATTTATTTTTAAATTTTTAAGTAATTTATTTTTTGCATTAATCTTTATTTTGTGCAGTTTTTTTCATCTCAGTTATAATCCTTATGGGATTCCCACCACCAATTCACCCATGTGCCATCACCATAGTCCCATGCTCTCTTTTCATCCCAGTTTTGACCCAGTTCCCCTCTTCACCACCATAAAATGTCTCTGCTTTATAGTTGTTTTTCCTTTTTACCTTATTGCATTTTTAAAAAGATTGATTTATGTATGCATACAAGAATTGGGGTACAGGCCAGAATTGGGAGGGCAATGAGAGGATTCACCAGAGACACAGCGACGAGTAGAACAGGAGGACTGACTGAAATACAGAGTCAGAGTCAGTTGAGATAGGAGAGATCTGGTGCACCATGTAGCTGGGGATCAAACTCATGCTGTAGAGGTTGTGGATAGCTTCACACTAAAGAGACTTAACCCCGTATCCCACTGAAATTGCCAGTTATATTTAACTTTTAACATTGTTGGTTGCTCTTGGGCTTTAGGTAATTCTTCAAGTTGGAAAAGAATTTCAGAAAATAAGATCATAGATATAGTCACACATCATCACTTATCTAGCTATTTGTTCTTACTTTTTTTTTTAATAGTCTTAGGATTTTATTTTTTTTTCCACGCCATAATCTAGTTCTCCAGTCATTAAACAGAAATCAAATTATTACTGTAAAGTAATTCAGGTCATTTACTGAAACAAGAAAATAATATAATATGATTAAATCAATATCTGCATTTGTCCTGCCAGAGGATAGAAAAAAAAAAAAAACAGTATGAAGTATATTTTACAAATTAAATTCGAATTAAGTGCCATGGCTGCTTAACAGAACATTAGCACAAATTGATATCTTCTCAGGGCTTAGTTTTTACAAAAACCATACATGAGTTAAAGGCAAACTAATGGAGAACCCTTGAACTATTACTTCTATTACTAATAGAAATTAGTTCGTCTCCATAATTGTTCTTCCTCATAAGCACATAGAATTATTATAGCCAATTAATGAGTATTTACCTCTGTATCTCTAAATAACATACATGGTGCTAGTTTTAGGTATATTTTTACTGACTTTCAACCATGGAATGAGTTATCTTTTTTACCCTATTCTTCCTATAGCCTCCATCTTCTCAAAGTAATATATTTTAATTTTGGTACAGAGACTTTTAACACTTTTCAAAAAGTGTATTGAAAATACTTTTCAATAATACACTACTTCACTTTTCCTTGAATTACTTGTTTCCATGTAATTATTTATTCTCATTTGTTTGGCTTAGTTGACTCAAACTTTCCATCAAGATGTCTAATCTTCTCTTAATAAGGTTTTTCACTTTAACTATTCAATCAATTTAACTTCCACTAAAAATTTCTTTTACTGTAAGTCTGCAGTGTTCTGATTTAGTTCCAATCTAGATTGGTTGCTCTTTAAAAATAAAGTCATTTGGGGTTCTCATGTCACCGTACTAGTCATAATTCTTGTTTAAACTTGTTTCCTAAATCCTTTGTAATCTTCCTTCTCAACTTAAATCCCGTAGTTTGGTGGAATACATCCAATCACTTTGAGAGCAAGAATGAAGTTTATCAGTTTTCTGGGATGATTATATCTGACAATGTTCATGTTGAAATCTCACACTTAGATTTTGAATGGGAATGGAATTATATATTAAAAATAACTTTCCCTCAAAATTTTAAAGGCAGTATGTCCTTTTTCTTGGCTGTCTGTGTTGTTTTAAGATATTTCGTTTATACTGAGTCACAATGCTTTTGTGACTTTATATCTCTAAATGTTCATGTTCATAATTTTTTTTAAAGATTGATTTATTTATGCATCTAGAGCTAGGGTACAGGGCACAGGTGCAGGGGCAGTGAGAGGAATCACCAATGACAGAGTGGGGAGCAGAACAGGTAGATCAACAATGTATACTGCTGAAGGGAGAAGAGGGTGAGACATTAAAGGTCTGCCACACCATGTGGATCACTTCTGGGGCCATGGATTTAACTTGCACTGAAGCAGCTACAGTCAGCTTGCAGTGCTACGCTTTAACTTGCTGTGCCACCAGGCTGGGTCCTGTTTATAAAATTTGTATCCATCATTCTAAAATTTCACATTGATGTGCCAAGATTTGGAACTATTTTTGTCTACTGTATTAGTCTTCTGAGAGATATTTTTAATCTAGAAAACTAGTTACTTCCATTCTAAGATACTCAATTTAATTAAATGACAAAAATTACCTCTTTATTTCTTTCTAAAACTTTGTCTGATCCTATATAGTCTCTCATCTATTTTCCATATCTTTGCTTATTTCTTTAGGAATATTATTCCTCCAAATGTTCTATTTTATTTTAGCTACTGCTTTTACAATTGTCAACTTTATTTTCTGTTTTTTTTTTAATGGCATCTAGCTATCATTTATGTTTAGTGCTTTTAAAAATGCATCTGATATTCTGTTAGGTTTATTTTATTTTAATACCAGCACAGTTTCTATTTCCCTCTGATTTTTCTTCTGATTTACTTAATATGTGTCAGTTTAAAGGGTATC